TAAGGAAGAGGTCAGAGAAAGGGAGCACGTCAAGCTAAGGAAGAGGTCAGAGAAAGGGAGCACGTTAAGCTAAGGAAGAGGTCAGAGAAAGGGAGCACGTTAAGCTAAGGAAGAGGTCAGAGAAAGGGAGCACGTTAAGCTAAGGAAGAGGTAGGAGAGACAGAACCCACGGCCTGAGCTCCAGGGTCACACAGCAACAGGGGGACCAGGTCTGGCCACCAGGTTACAACAAGTACAACACAACTGGTGACTCAGGAGCCAGCTCTGTCCAACGGGAAGCGGGAGCAAAGAAGCACTATGTCCAGAGCAAGGAAGGCAGTGGGGGCCAGGCTGCAGAGGGCCTTGTAAGGAAAGGAGGTCTGGATTTTATATTAAGTTCTTCCCATTAAGGATCAATATTTGTAATATTCTCCAATGGCCCAGCTAACTAGGAGAAAGTAAAAACGCCCATCAGGAAAGCCACACTAACCTGTATAGAGTCGGTAACACTTTCCTGAGCGGTTACGACCACCACGCCCTGCTCGCTGGTTGGCTGAGGCCTGGGACACCGGAACCACCACCAAGCATTCAATTGCTGTTCTGGGATTGTAGGCACGGAGTTTCACAAAGCCACAGTCAATCACATACACAATGCCGCTGATTGTAATGGAGGTTTCTGCCACATTGGTGGCCACCACCACCTAAGTTCCCCACCAAAAGAAGAGTAAGGATAAAAGTCAGGTGATTCTTTTCACTTTTAATAAACCATTAAAAATCCCAAAAGACTTAAAGATGTTTCTGACATTATAGAAACTGTGAGAAGCGGTCGGTTATACTGCAAAGACCAAGGGGTGCCTCAGCTTGAATTCTCTCTGTGTGGTCTGAGACAAGGCACTTAATCTCTTGAGCATCAGTTTCCTCATCTGTAAAATATCTACCCTCCAGGGTTGTTGAGGTGATTAAATAACAAATATACAGAAAGTGAATAAAGCCTAATACTTGGCACACAGTAAATATTCAACAAATGACAGTTGTTCCAAGGTAGCTAGCTTTGTGTCACGGGAAAATTAGGCAGGCAGAAATGAAGTAAATAAAAGCGGCTTGCTCTGATAATTACTGTCTGGGTGGCCAGGTTTATAAATCTCCACATGCATTTTTTACTGTGTGCTTTTAAGACTTGCTCCACAGAAACACAGATTGAAAATTCTTTGAGAAATCTTCCCTTTTAGCAAATTTCACTTTAATCCAAAAAAAAAAAAAAATCTGGATAGTGTCCAGCTACCACTACTGAATTTTTGATCGAAGATTCTATAGCAGAATCATGGTCAATGTTGGGGATAAGGGATGTGTATGCAAAATAGAATTTCAAATTCTTGTGGAATCTAGACTTTCTATATCCATTGAGGCTGGATGAACCCCTGAAACTACTTCCCTGACAAAATCTTTCAACCTTAACCCAGAACTATCCCCTAATGTCTTCCTTAACCCAAACAGCAGTTTAGTTTAATTAGTAAAGACAGTCTTCCCTGAGCATCATGCTTTTTTAAACAACTATCTAGATGGGGTCAAAAGGACAACAACAATTCGAAAGATTAGACAGCAAGATTAGGGTGCAGAGAGTTTATGTTAATTCAGGAGGGACCATCTGGAAAAAGATGGTGAGAATGTTGGCATAACTGGAAGAATATAAACAATGTCACTGAATCGTGCATGTAGCAATTGTTGAAATCGTAGATGTTCTGCTGTGTATAGTTTCAAAAACAACAGTAATTTAAAAAAAAATTCTTTCCAGTGTATAGCAAAAGGGAACCATTGTGATTATGTTGTTGTTGTTGTTGTGTGCCATGGAGTCAGATCCAACTCATAGCAACCCTTCTTCCTTGGGTTTCTGAGGCACTATCACTACGGAAGTAGATTGCCCCAATCTTCCTTCCGAGGAGCAGCTGGGTGGGTTTGAACCACCAGCCTTCTGGTTAGCAGTCAAGTGCCTTAGGCACTATGCTACCAGAGCTCCCATTATGATTATAGGTACCTGCAAACGCCCTTGGTTATCAGGATACTCTCACCTTCCTGACACTGTGTGGTACTCGTTCAAACACTTTCATTTGCTCATAGGAAGGCAGTCCCGCATACATGGGGAGAATCCGGAGGTGTCTCTTCATCCCAGTGCGAGCCAGCGCTCGAGCCTGCTCAATTAGCATAGACACGACGGCTTCTACCTCTTCCTAAAAACAGGGAGCCAGGACCCAAGCAAACCAAGATCAATCAAAGCATGTCATTCTATCATACTGGAAGAAAATCAAAGGTGGGGGGTCAAGATTTTAACTTTGGTCACATGTATGAATTTCAGTGCTGTCACAGTCCACTCTGGGGAGCTATTCAATCAAATGCTACTGAACCATCATGCCAGGGGAGTGAATATTTACAACTGTAAAATGAATTACTGAAACTCATACTAAAAGTGGTGAGTAGAAGAGTCCCTGATAAACAACAACAACTACTACTTTACGCAGCTTTTATGTACGGTGCAAACAAAGCACTTCGTGTGTGTGTGGACAAGTTGTGGCAGACAGAATCACATTATGCTTTCCCAGGAAATTATTACTGAAGTGTGGAAAATGTGTGACAGTGGAAAAGATTACAGCAAAGGGTAGTCCCAAACATGCTACAACCCCAAGTGAGCACTTGGGCAGGCAGTGCTTGTTCAGAGGTTTTTCCAGTAAGGTGGCCACTCCCCACCTCCAGGACGAGCGGCAAGAACGTCGTCACTGGGAGAGGAGGCATGCAGTACAGCACGCACGCAGCAAGATGTGCCCAACACAGAACTCGATTCCGCCTCACAAAGCCTTCTGATGACTGCACTTTCTAATTTATTTCACAATCTGCTAATAAATTTAAAATACAACGAACCCTCTGCAGACAGAACAGGCAGGAGATAAATGACATCAATCCAAAAAGTATTCAGGGAATTAGGTAACCACAGAATGTAACAAAACATGAAATAAATGTGTAAACAAAACAACAGGCTTCTGTATTGATTTTGACGCTGCTGGAGCGTGTCTGCTCACCCATCACAGGGCAAAGGTCCAAAGGAATTACCTGGCCAGTGAGAAATGCTAGTACATCTCCATCGCCCTCTGTCTGGTGAATTTTCACCACAGTTTCCACAGTTGCTTTGATATAATCTGGAACAGGACTGAAAAGACATAGAGGATAAATTCATCACTACAATATGCTCGCTAGTTATGGATCAATTACCCTACCAATCTGGTAGCAAAGCCTACTGAAAGTTAGTCTAGGCCTGCCCAGCAGGTAATTAGTATGTGGATGAATGAAATTAATATTTATTCTTTTTTTTTTTTCTTTTTTAAGTATAGCATTCAAAAATAATTCATAATTACATATAAACTATGACTTTGAATTTTATCTGCAAATAAATAAATGCAACCGGACATGCTATCTTTAGCATGTGAAAGATCCCTGGCAAGTGAACATCAGAGCTGTGGCCCCACACTCTTTTGGGCCCATTTCCCCTCCTGACCACTGGCAGCATGGAGGAAGCTGATGGGTACACCTGCCAGCTAGAATGACTCAAAAGTCAAGCCCACTAGTCTCTGGATTTACCAGCTACTGGACCAAGCTCCTGGTCTTTGTTTGCCCCATACGTGTAAGTGTAAGAATTAGGATGGCCCCCTTTCTGTCCAAATGGAATCTCTGGGTGGAGAGAACAATTAAGTACTGGGCTGCTAAGCAAAACGCTGGCAGTTCAAACCCACCCACTTGGAAGAAAGGCCTGGAGATGTGCTTCCAAAAGACCACACATGGTTTTCCTCTAACACACACTGTGTCACCAGGAGTTACAATCAACCAATGGCAACCGGCTTTGATTTGGGTTTTTCTTCCCGTCTGTGGGGCTCCTCCCACAAGAGTGGACCAGGCCTTCTTGCTAAGGATGCAGTAAGCTAAGAACCTAACGATTCAAATCACCAATTTGACCCCAGTTCTGAAAACTCTCAAGGTTTACCAGTACATCCTGTCCATCGGAGATACCGACCAGAGGCACAGAAATGTGTAACATCAGTATCAGGTGTTTAAACTAACTTGGTGGGGACAAAGAACAAGGCTCCAGAACATCACGCTGATGAAAGGGAGACACTGAGCGTTCTATTAATCACGAGCCTGGCAAGGCACCCTTGGGGCTGTGTGCAGATGCAGGGCCTCATCACTCTGCGTGACAGCCCAGCTTCTAATCACCAGCAGTGAGAAGTCAAGTATCATCAAACCTTTGCAGATAAAAGATATCCACTGGAAATGTTCGCCCTTCCACTGTAAGGATCACACACGTATCCCTGGTTGGGTCACTGGTTTCATTTTGATTAAAGAAATCCCGAAAGTTCTAAAATTGAAAAAAGAAAAAAAAAGTGCTTCATTCCTCTTTTTAAAAATGGTTCATAGTTATTCATAGAAAGAAAGAAACTGACAGAGCGAGGTGGTAGTGTGGGTTAGATGCAGAATATAGACTAGTGGCTACAAAAGCATTAAGAAATAAATTCATAGTTTTCTTACTACAATTGTGGGGAATCAGTGCAATGTCAGACTCCTTACTAAAGGTTTGATAAGAGTAATAAAGATAAGATGTCAAAACTGCATTTAGTACACATCTGAGTTAATGGATAGCATCAGATTATTTATCTTATTCCTACCCCCTGTGTTTCACTTAATTGAAAATTAGATCAAAAGGTATAATTCAGGTTAAATACGGGTTAAATCAGGTCGATGTGTAGCTCCAATCAGGAAAGCACAGATCTGATCATACAAGACATCAATGTATAAAAGAAACTTTTTCTTCTGTGAACTCTTTAACAGTAGGTACGCTCCTGGCATCAGTTATCACACATCTATATATTACGATATATACAGATTACTATATATATCGTAATATATATATATTGTAGGTTACTATAACCTTCCTAGTAGATCTGAGGCACGTGATGGCAGGAATGGTGTCTTCCCCACCTCTCTATGCTCTATAGGAGCTGGCGTAATATACTGCATGATTTTGTAGGTCACCAACTGGCTATTTCTGACATTCCCATAAGTAGCCTGTTGAGAGAAGTGGTTCTTGGGAGTTCCTCCCAAACAGGTGGCCATAGTCTACACAATGGCACCTGGCCCCAGACTTGCAGCCTTTAAGGAGGGTGACACAGTGCCCAAGGCATTAGACTGCTAACTAGAAGGTTGGCAGTTCAAACACACCAGCCACTCCACAGAAGGAAGACTGGGCAATCTACTTCTGTAAAGATTTACTGCCTCAGAAACCCAATGGGGGGGGTCGCAATGAGTCAGAATTGACTCAATGGCAGTGAGTTTCTTTTTCGGTTTAGCACAAGCTCTGGTCAATATAGGAGGAGGGGGAGCCTAACCAAAGATACACAGAGATCAAGGTAAAGGTCCATAGAAGCAGGACCAGAAGCTGAAAGCAACCAAGAGCTGAGTGACCGCATCGGCTCAGGAGCCCTGGACATAGCGGCTGGGGATGCACAGACATCCTCTCTGGTGAAACATTCCATTATTAGAGTCTGAATCACCTTCCCATTCTCCAACTACATTCCAGTTCCCCTACGGCCCTGATGGGCATGACTTTCTGTTCTTCTAGGAGGCCTGGCTGCTATATGATCCCAAGTCCTATCTTCCTCACTTTCCCAGGTATCTTTACAAAACATGCCCATCTCGGCTCCTTGAAACCCAGGACCTCAGGAGCTTCCCTGGTGAACTACAAATACAAAGTGAATATACTTGGAGGAGTACTTCTAAAAAAGTGTATTGAATTCAACTAGAAAATACTGGTATGCTATACATTAACCTCAAGGTTGTGTAAGGAGATTAAACACAGATGTAAAAGTGCCTTGAGCTAACAAAGGAACTGTTGTGTGCAGAATGCCACAGGGCACCATTCTTCATTGAATTTCTTTTGGGTAAATGCACTTCAAGTCACTTCAACCCTCCTGTGTCCCTATGATATGCACAGGACAGGCCCATTAGAAGAGATGAACAAGTGAGAACAGACCCCCATGCCCCAAAAGAATAAATAATCCAGGGGAGACAGATGTGCAAAGAACCAATTATAAAATAAACGCTGAGCAGAATGACTTAAATGGTCAAAAAGGAGCTGCAAATTACAATCTAAGAGAGGGAAATGATTGATAATGACTGGCTTTAGGAAAGGCTTCATGAAAAAGGCTTCATCCTTGCGCTGGCCTTAACGAATGAGGAAGATGAGAACCAGCTGGGAAGGGAAACAGACACCCCTTCCTAGGATGAGAGTAGACTGTGAGCTGAGATGTAAAGGGGCCCCGGGTGAGGAGGCAGCCCAAGGTCTAGGGCAGGCCAGCCTTGACTCTGCTTTCTCTCTCACCTGCAAAATGGAAGCACTGCTAACTCCCCTGCAAGACTGTTGTGCACTTCTATAGAGTGTGTCTGAAAGCACAGGTATGGCCTAGAATGGCATGCAGTGAGTGGCCACAGGCATCACTCAGAAGGGGCCTGGATGCCATGCTGTATGGGCACTGTATGGTGGGCAAGACAAGGGCTGTGAGGACAGGCATGATATTTTCAGACCTGTGTTCTGGGTGCCTGATGCCGGTGGCTGTCCTGGAGAGGAGCAGGGGAGCTAAGAGCCTGGAAGCAAGTAGACTAAGGAAGCTTATTCTAATGTCATGATTCAGGACTGTCAGGACTGAACTCGGGCAGGGGCAGTGTGAAAGCAAGGCATTTCAAAGGTAAAACTGATAGGAGCTGGCAATTAGTGAGCGTGTATACACACACACACACACACACACACGGTGGAGAGAAGGAACGACTTCTTACTCAACCAGGGCTAAAAAATTCCCAAAGCAGTGGTGGACTTGAGCCTGAATAATTATAATGAGAAAAGGGGCTGGGACCAAGAAGAAGCATGGAGCCCAGGTTTATAGACAAAGTGAGTTTAATGATGGCCTAGGCACCTGCTGCCACTGGAGAGCAGAGGCTGTAGCCCCGAGGCACAGTCAGACTGCCACCAGTACAAAGTGTCAGCTGAGTCAGGGGCCGTGATGGGGACAGTCTGAGGAGGAGCAGCAGCAGTCAGCAGAAGCGCTACAAGGAAGCTGTCAGGAGACGAGAGAAGGGACACAGCAGGGCTGCAGAAGCTTCAAGGAGGAGGAGGAAGATTGTAAAGTAGGGTGTGGTGGACAGAGCTGAATGCTAAAAAGACTAAGTGCAGCAGGGAGGAAATGGTGCCTTCACGGTTTCACTGGAGTGGATGGCTAACCCTTAGCCGTCAAGGAATATGACACACTCAAGAATAAATACATGGAGCTACTCGTCTAAGAAATAAAATCTAGCGTTTGCTCAGAAGCCAGAGGTTCTTTATCTTTAAGATATTAACCCTTTATCTTTATTTAGAAATATAAAATATATACAGTCAGAAATTATAGACTAGAAAGCAAAGAAATATAGTCTCAACGGTGTCTAACTCTTGAGGCAGTATCAAGAAATAGGAAGAGTTAAATGATTTCAATGCACCTAGAACACTTTTGAGTTTTATGAAGCAAATGCAATTTAAATGATGTGGACATCTGCTGGTGTGCCTCTCCAACTCATAATAACTCCCTTCCCTGATACCTACTCCCACCTGAGCCACAGGAATGGGCTCCCAGGGCCATGTCTATACAGCATGCCAACCCTTGGCCAACACCTCTTAGCTCATGCAGACTGGTCCCACAGGTACCTAACCCCAACTGACCCCAAGTTCCTTCCCCAGGAATCTGGAAACAGAAATTAGTCTCTCTCCAAGGAGCTGGACCCGGGACAAAAAACCGTGGGAGCTGCCAGCAACCATATTTTCTGCCATGTGGATAGAAGCAAATAAAAGGAAAACAATAGCATATGATACAATGGTCACTAAATACTTTGTAACACCCAGTCATGTTATGCAGATGTGCACTTAATTAGGCTGACATTAATGAGGCAACTGAACTAATTAAGGTAGCTATACGATCAGCCCCCGTCCTATTCAGTTTGCCTCTGCCTCACAGGTGCAGTTGCTGGTGTTTGTACCTGCAGGCTGGGCACACCCCAGGCCTGAATGAAACCAAGGCAGGCAGAGAATCAGCAGACCTATTCTTCTGGACAGCGGGGCTTAGAATTAGTCTGTCTCCCACAGACCCATAAGCTAAGAAGAACAGGGATCAGTTTTGGATACCCCTGTGGCTTCTAGGTCAAAATACTACCTAAACCACATCCTGCCCAGCCCCGACTCATACTCTTCCCACTCTCTTCCTCTTCCACCACTCTTCTTCTTCATTCTCATTCTCTCAGAGGTGAACCCACATACCATACGGACCCACACCCACCCACACAGACTGACCTACACACATAGATCCTTCCGCCCCACACACAAATCACCTCTCACACACACACACACACATATACAGACCTCACCTCCCCATTAACAGGAGGCTCTAGATATGCAGGTAAGGAAGGGATATAGCAGTTAGTGGTCCTAGTTCACAGAGGGCCCAGCTGAATAGGCCTGAAGCCCCAGCGTGCCGTGCATCATAGTAAACCCAACGTGTAACACATTTTCTACAGCCTACCTTCCCACTTACTATGGATTGAATTACGCCCCTAAAACACATATTGAAAGCCTAATCCCTGCACCAGTGAATATGACCCTGATTAGGGAAATAGTGTTTTTCTTTGCAGATTATCAGTTAAAGAAGTCATATTGTAGCGGGGTGGGTCCTAATTCTAACCTCTTTTGAGAGGCATCATAAAGAAGGACAGACACAGAAACAGAGTCACACACAGGGAAAGACAGATACCACTTGACCACAGCAGCAGATGTAGCTATAAACACCAGAAGAATGCCAACGACTACCAGCAGCCACCACAACCTAGGAGACAGGCATGGAAAATTCCCCTCTCAAAGCCCTCAGAAGGAATCAACAGGGCAACATCCTGATTTGGACTTGTAGCCTCCAGAACTATAAGAAAATAAACTTCTTCAAAGCCACCCACTTGGTGGTCTTCAATTATGGCAGCCCTAGGAAAGTAAGACACCACTTTTAAAATTTACTCTCATCTATATCAACTATTGTACACAGAACTGAGAGAGCTACATTTAAAAATCTCTACACCAAAGCAAAAGACAGTTGAAGGTAATTGTGAGCAATTATTAACAATGATTCTAGGAAAACACTTAGACACTATAGTTTTCAAACACAACAGAAAATGTAGGCTATACATCTATGGCCAACTGATTTTTGACAAGGGTGGCAAGTCCACTCAATGGGGAAAGAACAGTCTCTTCAACAGATGGTGCTCAGACAACTGGATTGCCACATGCCAAAGCGTGAAGCTGGACCCATTATGTCACACCATAGAGGAAAATTAACTCAGAATGGATCAATGAGGTAACTATAAGAACTCTAAAGCCATATGAAAATATGGAACTTCAAGATCTTGCTTTTGACATTGGATTCTTAGATATGACACCAAAAGCATCAGCAACAAATGAAAAATAAGAGGATTAAAGGACTTTATCAAAATATTTAAGGGTCAACGGAGAGAATGGGAGAAAATATTTGGGAATCATATACCTCATAAGGGTTTGATATGCAGAATATATAAAGAATACCTACAACTCAACAACAAAAACACAGTACAATTAAAAAATGGCCAAAGAACCTGAATAGACATTTCTCCAAAGATACACAAATGGACCGTAAGCACATGAAAATATCCTTACCATTATTAGTCATTAGGGAAACGCAAGTCAAAACCACAACGAGATATCACTCCAGACCCATTAGAAGGAGCTCTGGTGGCGCAGTACCTAAGGATTTGACTGCTAACCAGAAGGTCGGTGGTCCAAACCCATCAGCCGCTCTGCAGAAGGAAGATGAGGCAATCTACTTCCGTAAAGACTTACTGCCTCGGAAACCCAATGGAGGTCTCTATGAGTCAAAATCGACTCGATGGCAGTGAGTTTGGTTTGTTGGTTTTCAGGATGGCTATTATCAGAAAAATACAAAACAAGCGTTGGTGAGGATATAGAGGAAATGGAAGCTGCATGTACTACTGGTGGGAATGTAAAATGGTGTGGCAAAAAAAGCTGGGTGGTTCCTCAAAAATTTAAACTTAAAATTACTACGTTGTTGTTATATGCCATCAAGTCAGACCCGACTCATAGCGACCCCCTCCTTGGGTTTCCGAGGCAGTATCACTACGGAAGGAGACTGCCCAACCTTCCTTCCGAGGAGTGGCTGGAAAATTACCATATGACCCAGCAATTCCATTCCTAGATATATACCAGAGACTTGAAAGCAAAGACTAAAGCAGATAGTTGTACAGCAATGTGCACTGCAGCATATTATGCACAGTACCTAAAAGGTAGAAAACCAAGTGTCCATCAACAGAAAATGGATAAACAAGACTATATACAATAAAATGGAATATTATTTAACCATAAAGAGAAATGAAGCCCTGATACATGCTACAACATGGATGAACCCTGAAAGCATTATGCTGAGTACAGCTGAGTTACACATAAAAGGATAAATACTACATATGAAATATCTAGAATCAGCAAATACATAGAGACCAAAGCCTATTAGGGGTTACCAGTGCCATGTGGGAGGGAAACAGGGAAGTTATTGCTGAAGGGGTACTGAGTTTCCAGTTGGGGTGATGTAAAACTTCTAGAAATAGATAGTGGTGGTGACAGCACAGCATGATGAAAGTCATTCACGTCACTGTACAGTTAAAATGGCAAGCATTTTGCTGCACGTTTTTTTTAACTACAGTAAAATTAAAATTAAACTATAAAAAATAAAAAATGGTTGAGAATAAGTTTAACAAGAGAGAAGATGCTCTGTGAAATGGAGCCACAGAGGAGATAAGAGAAGGTGAGGTCAGGTAAAGTCCTCAAAATAGCCTTGCAGCAGGTACCACGGAGAAGACGTGAAAGAGTTAAAGAGGACAAAGAAGGGGTTGTGACCCAAAAGTCATCCTGGGCAGACCTCAGACAAGAGAATCCTGCAGCCTGTGAAACAGGCAGGGAAACCAGCTCCGACACACAGGCAAACATCACTCTTATCCAGGCTGGGCTTTTTCTCACTCCAAGTTGTTCTGCATCCCTCAAGTCACAGGAGGCCAGG